TAAGACCATGCCTATATGGCCTTAGTTTAGAATCAGAATCAGAATCATTTTTATTGCCACGTAAGTAACAGGAGGTCACAGACTTGGAAATTGCTATCAGATCAGACAGGCCTGATCTAGAGTGACCAGGTCGGTATAATCTGGAACTCCTTAACTCCACTCTAATTTCTCCTACAGTATGTACATGGAAAACTATAACGCAGTACAAGTGGAAAAAAGTGGCCCCTCCAGCACAAAAGTTATGTAGTTTTGTCTATTTTTAATCCTAAACAAGATTACAAAAACATTTGGTTTTGAATTTGATTATTCAATTCTTTTTGTTGTTACTTGATAGACACTGGTGCACACTGGGAGGTCTTGCACAGTTTTCCTAATGTGGTTTTACTGCAAATGGCAAATAAATTCTTGAATCATGAGATATGGCCAACATAATGTCACGACCCTGCACCCTGTCTATATTCCCTGCTTCTTGATAACGTTTACATTAGGGCTGCACAATATTGGAAATGAGTGCGATAATCGATATGAGTGTTTAGTATTGCAATAACGATATTATTGTGATATTTTTTTCTTTCACCTAAAATTGCAATCTGCATTGAAACGCAGGAGACAAATAACAAAAAATAATGACATTCAAATGCAGATATTATTTATTTATTTTTGTTGAATGGTGATGTGCCTGTATCTTTTGCTGTCTTTTTTTTTTCTTTTTATATCACGCATATTTTCGCACGCACCAGAATCGCGATAACTATATTTTTTTTGTGCAGCCCTAGTTTACATTATAACTCGATCTCGGTAATCAATGAACTAGCTTCGGCCTGCGATCGTGAGAAGTGTGTATAATGGACTGTAATGTGCACTAATATTGTGCCCATGGCTTCCTCCATTAACTCTGCCCGCCTGTCAGATACATACTCCATCATGGCTCTGGATTTGTTTCATAATAGCTGACAATTATTAAAGGTAGAAGCAACTTGAAAATTGCTGTATAGAAGAAATATTTTTCAATTAAATGCAGATCTTTAAAGAAAACTTGTCGTGCTTCTGTCTGTATTTGTGAGAATCTGTGCCACCTATGGCTCATCACTATACAACACATTTGAAATATCCATATTGACAGAAAACAATGTGATAAAATAAACAAATCTGTCCGCTTCCATCCCCAAAAAACTATCTCCGGAAAAAACAGCTATTTAATACACTCGATGTTCCCTTCGCTCTGACACATACATACATAACACAAATGATTTCTGTTTCCCCAGTATTACGCAGTCAAAGCTGTTAAATAATTCCTGTGTGATGAACGAGTTTCCCTTCACCAAAAAAATACAAGGCACAAAGCAGTGTTCAATGCAGCCACTCGTCAATAACTCAGAATCCACTTGTGTGTTCTACTTTTGAATAATTCTCGGCGCAAAAAGCAAAATGGATTAGCTACCTCTCTGTGCGTGAAATAAAATGTTATGGAGTATCGAAGCCAGGCAGTTTTTCTACAAGAATGGACCGATATATGACCAACCATGCATCATTTATTTCTTTAAAGTGACAGGCCGAAAATAACTGGTTTAATAACTCAAGAATTGTGCCCTTTAAATTCTGAAACTGAAGTCGGCTGTAAATCCCACCCCCTCCATATGTTTAATTAGAAAAGATGAAATTGAGTAAATCTATGCTTTCTGAATGATTCATTTTTTCCCATTTTCCCTTATACTAAAGTGAAGCAATTTATAGAACTGTGGGCGGATATCAAACTACTCAGAGGTTGGTAGGTCCAGTTTGATGAAAGTATTTTGGGCGCCTGAGTAGAACTTGAAAAGCACGGCGTGTTTTTTGGAGAACAGAGGAAATGGTACTTTGTCGCGTTGACAGGTTTAAACAGCCGTGAGGATGGGAGCTTGGGGAGGGAGGGAGGGGTGATGAATTATGGATAGGTCTTGCAAACATGGCTTATTTGCTTCACCTGAATATGACAACATTGACAAACATGAAAACTGTTAAGAGACACATTTTTCTACACAGCAGAGAGATAGACCCCTACCTTCAATATGGACTGAGGAGATCAAATAAGAGGACGGATCATTTGTTTTTGTCCAAAATACCGTTTTGTGAGGAACTAGTTTTTTTAACGCTATATTCTGTATGTGTCCTGCTCCACCCAGCGAATGTTCCACCTCTGCTGCTGTGACCTAAAGTGTTGTTGCATGTTATTACTATTGTTAGCTAAAGAATTATGTATTTATTTGCTTTGTTAATATGGAAGGATGTTGTTTTGTGTCTGTACTTGTCCTGTGCACACTGGGAACTTTTACTAATGTATTCCAATGTAGTGTTACTGCAAATGGCGAATAAAATGAATCTGAATCTGAGGATGTGTTTCTCCTGCTCTATCTATCTATCTATTTCTAATTCATTTCTATGGTGTGTCCAGAACAGAAAACAAAAAGTAAAAAAAAAATCCTAGTTGGGTTAAACAAGCATCAATCCAAAATGTGTGAAAATAGATTAGACCAGAAATTCAAAAACTTCAGACCGGGACCTTCACTACAAAAGCATGACATTGAAAGTATAAATCCTTTGTAGCATCAAATTAATGCTGTTTATTTGAGTTGTTTGTTGTACAATAAATATCTGCTGGTACAGATAACTTAAGTTAAATCTGTAAAGTTATGGTTTATAGTTCCTGTAGGAAAATGTGGCCTCTGCTTTTGACCCACCCTTCAATGCCACTTGACCCGGGTCACAGTACAGCGCCTGGGCAAACATCTACAGATCTTGATGCTCGCCCTGCTCCGGACTATTGGATGGTTTTTCCTTTTTTACATATATTTTTTTAATATGATAAGATAAGATAAACTTTATTGATCTCACAATGGAGAAATTTGCAATGGTAGGGGAAACCGCAGCACCTGGAGAACACCTTTGCAGACACGGAGCGAGCGTGCAAACTCTACAAAACTGTTCAAACTGCTTGAACACAGGACCTTCTTGTTGAGAAGTGAGAGCGCTAACCACTCTGCCACAATCATGTTTGTATCAAAAATAATTGTTTAAATATATAGATAGTGAAATGCATATTAAACAAAAAATGTAAGACGAAAACATTTACTTTTTATGCATATTTTAATTGTTTTAAGTTGCATTGTGATGGGGTTAAGGAAAAATAAGCTATTTGTTGAAAAAGTAAGCTATTTGTAGTGTTTTTAAGCATATTTGATTGGTGTTGCGCTCATTTGCATATTCAGATTAATATTAAGAGATCCTTTATTCGTCCGACAGAGGGGGAAAGTTCATATTCAACAAACATGTAGTCTGCTGCTCTGGACCTCACAAAAACGATTCATTGTGAACAAAAAATCTATTACAAGTTGTTCTCTTTTTGGGCCCAGAATCGGGTCGTTTGCCTGGACTATTTACAATTTGCTCCCTGTGTGCTGCAAATAATACAAACAGGGTCATTAACTTCCTGCTAAACTGAAAGGAACCACCTCCTCAAGGCTGAATTTCATCAGAGCTGCAGCCAGGAGATTATCATTTAGGCCTTTATATTTGGCATAACGGCTCTGGGGGAAAGCAACACCCTCATATCCAAGACCCTGACCCCCATATTTGAGTATGTAACGCCGAGAAAATAAACACCAATTAGAATACAGCTCAAAGTAAGGCTGTGTGCGATGATATACGTGTCCATGTGTTTCAAAGAGACGAGAAATTAGGACGGAAAAGAGATTAAGAAAAAGTCGTTGCATGAAACTGAAATCACCAATGGACTTTTTTGTTTTGTTATTGTGCATCTCTTGGTTCAACTCATAACATATCAAGAGGTTTTTTTAATATTATTTTGATATGTATTAGTATAAGTGTTGGGATGTATTTTGTTTTCCTCCTTGTGAAGATTTTTTAACATATTGGGGAAAAATATCTGCAAACAATTGGGTGGGGATAGGTAGTAGACACAATATTTGACATTATGACATTTTCAGAATACTGAAGGACAAAACACAGTTAGATTAAACACAGAAGTTTACAGGGCTCTAACATGAAACTCGACCTGATTAAAGAAAGTATCTCAAAGCATGGATTATTTAACAGCTCCTTAGTTTCTTTCTTCTTCTTCAAACACATAACACTGCCATTCTCTGTCGTGAAAAATTTATTATTTTAAGCACAAAACGTAATAATGCAGTGTATATGTACGTAATGGGTAAACCAGTACTTGTATTATGCACTTTTTTCCATGTAACTGTACATTTTTACCAGAAAGAAATCCTATTGTTGACCCGATGTATACCTTAAATGCCCAATGACTAAATCCAAAAGCTTTAGGCCAGTGTTCACAAACCTGTAGAACGCCACTCTCTCTCTCTCTCATGCATTTTAGCACTTCCTTCATAAGTCCATTTACTTCTGTTCAATTTACAATGTGAAACTAATATATTTATGGGCTGACTCATTACACACAGACATATCCAGCCTTTATTTGTCATTATGTTGATTATTGGCTTGTAAAAACCCCAAATGAAACACATTAGAAAATGGAGTGCAAGCCATAATCATCAAAATTGTAACAAATAAAGGCTTAGCATAGGTCACTTTGCATGAAATGAGTCTGTAAAGAGGTGAATTACAGATATGAACAAACATTTGAACAATATTCACCTGTGAATCTCCAAAATACCTCGCAATTGTGAGATAGATTGTAAGAAATCAATAAAGTATACCTTCTATGGTATAAAGTTATAGGTCACTTATCTTGTGCTGCAGTGGGACAAATACTCAATTCACAATGATTGGCTAAAAATCTATACAGAACCAACAGTGGGAAATTGATCCAATCACATCTAAGACTGCTGATTTCTTTATACACATACTAAATTTCTTGCAGCCACAAACTGGAGCGGATGACTGCCCTTTTTTCTTCATACAAGTGGATCTCTGGGGGAAAAAGGTTGAGTACCACTGACTCACAAGTGGATTTGTTACATTGGTCTGATACATACTGGTGTGAAGTTCTTGTGTGTGCACGTCTCTCCTCTAAACTTGCACTCCAGCAGCATGTCCTCCAGCTGGTGACCCAGGCGACCCATCATTTCTGTGGTGTTGACTCGGTATCCCGTGGGAGGAGAGTACTTATTAAAATCCAATAGGTTCACCAGTCCTTTCTTGTGGCTGTCCTTAAGTATCGCCAAACTCCTCTCCATCACTGTGTGGTTCGGATACAGCAGGTCCATCCAATACCCGCTGTGGTACAAGTCCTCTCTGGTCAAACTGGACACTCGGAAGACATTCTTGTTGCAGAAAGTCACAGCTGGGAAAGACATATTATGAGCCCAGACCATGTGTATTTTGGTGACAGCCGGGAAGGACATTAAGTAGAAAATGCGGTTCCAAGACCAAGTGAAAAGTAAACCCAGACAGAATAAAAAGGCAAGGATCCAAATGAACCGGTGTGGTCTGGACTTATGTGGAGAGAACATGAATTTCAATCCATGTATTTTTGTCCTGGTGATAAAACTTACAGTTATTTCTTTCATAGTTGGTTTGATCGTGCTGGGGACACGTCTCCTTCGGGCATCAGGTGGTCGCTCCTGCCCTGTGGCAATAGAATCACTGGCAGCGGTGGTGGCCATAATGAAGCGATCACATTTAGTTTAGTTCAAGGTTTGGCAAATCCTGGACCCTTTTTGAAAGCTTGGTAGGATTCGTGTTTGCAGCGAAGGCAGAAACTGGATTCCTTTGTAGATGCAAAACTGATTTACATAATGAGCAAAAAAAAAAAAAAGCAGGACTGTCCCATTAAGAGAAAGCGGCAAGCAGAATACCTTCCATTGCCGGATAAACGCTTGTTACAGCAGCACATGAAGGCAACACTTTCACTCCCAGCAGCTGCCACTTAAAAAAAAATAAAAATAATTAAACAAAAATCATCAGACTGGCTTACCCCTGTTGCTCAGATCTTTCGGGCGCGCTCACTGGCTGACAATACATGCAAATTTTGGTTGGTTTGTCGTATCTCAACTCCTCCCTCCTCCGCTCCTCAGATGGAAGATGTGCATTGACTTGCAGGCTGCGGAAGGGGAATCTAATGCTGGGAGCCCCCCTACCCTTCTCTCCACGCTCGGCTGGAGAATGAGGTGGAGCTACTGGTGAAATTGTTTTCCTGCTGTGATTAAGTCCAGTGGTGGAGAGGCAGGCGAGGCATACATTTTTAAAAAGGGGATATTGGCTGTTTTGTTAGCTGAAAATGTGCCGAAGTGTGCAGTTATAGTAATAGTAGAGTTTTGATTGCAATGTCCCTTGTTCTCAGTTTGAAATGTAGCTACCTGTCTGTGCTTTTCTTTGACAGTCTCGTTATCCCGTCATTGCACTTTTGCGGTTTGTTTAATCATCCAATCCACTTTGTTTTTTATAGCATATTTCATAAACAGTTTCTAAAGTGCTGCTCAACCAATCCATAAAAATACAGTAAACAAATGAAAACGCTGCACGATAAAAAGGACTTAAAACATAACAAAGACCATAAAGGTAATTCATCCATTTTCTACCCTTTAATCCATTTCTGGGTCAGGGGGGTGGCAGTCAGAGATGCCACCCAAGTCTCATAGCACCAGCCCCTCACTGACCCTCTGCAGGTGGTGAGTCCACAGGAGGACGGCTGCTCTCTGAGTGTGAGCATAGCCTTGATCTTTCAGTGGGGGCTTTGGGCAAAGTGGGGTTAAGTGTCTTGCCCAAGGACACAACGACAGAAGTCATCAGTGGGAGTCGGTGGAGAAGGTGCAGAGGTGGGAATTGAACCCACGACCTTCTGGCCTTCAGGCCAATGCTCTACCAACTGAGCTACTGTCGCCCCCCATAAAAGATTACCCATAAAGGTAATTCAAATGCATTTAAATAGTATGTAAATGTATATGAAATAACAATAGTAGAGGAAAATAAACTGCACAGAGGACCAAACAGCTCATGCAGTGTTAAAAACCGACTAAAAGAGGGTCTTTGTGAAGAATATAGACTTTTAACCCAGTATGAAATCTGCTGTATAAACCAAATGTCTAATTCTTCGTCTACCCAAAAGTCCTTTTGTTCAGACTTAATTGCAAAATAAAAATGCAAACATAGTAAGAAATCTAGGCGACTGAAATGCCTGAAACTACTTATCTCTCTTTTTTTTGTAGCTGTCAAAAAACCAATAAGTATTTTCTACATGCACAATTTGGGAAAATGAACTTGTTTGCCCAAAAATGTGCTCTCTTTGTCCTGGGAGAAAACATTTAAATGGGATTCTGCAGAAGTGACAGTATCAAATATGTAATGAGAACATGACTTTTCACAGCTGTCAAATCGTGCGCTGCTTTGCTTATCACAGTGTTGCAAAAGTACATAACCATTATAGGGCAGAGAGACACTTTTCCTTTTCATTTTCGTAATCAGGTTATATTTTGCATGATGCAGAGGTGTCTGTTATTTGTATTTGCCAAATGAGACCGCTATAGTGGAGTGTATTGCTTCAACTCTGGCAGGTTATTGTCACACAGCTTTTATTACTCGTTCCAAGTACTAACTGTTGCTGTTAGCTGCCAGGACCCGTTCACAGCAGGGCAGCATGATTTATGCTTTTGGAAAATTACAAAAATATTGAGCGGTGTGGTCTCTGCAGCAAGTGAATTTTACACAGACGCTCGAGCTCAAATTGGTTGAAAATAATTGGATTTCCGCTGAGAGAATATTGTTTAAAAAAAAGGGTAGCGAGATCTCCCAGTGGGCTACAGTGTGGATCGCATCGACTGGAATGTGCATACAATAGACCAGACAATGTCAATATGATGGATTAGCTACAGTTTGATTAGCAAGCGACGCTAATTCAAAGCAACATCAATGCTGTTTTAAGATGGGCACAGCATAGATTGTTTATTACATTATGATAAAAATGAATATAAAGAATAAAACTTCAAAAAACAGTCAGCCAAAATTTAATTAAGGGTTGCAGCCGGAGGTATTATATTAAAGTATGTTTTCCTTTGATAATATTGAGGCGAAATGAATTGCTGTTTGGCTTGAGTGTTAGTTTTAGAGTCGTAAATCATAATTAAATAGATCTACTTCAAGTGAATTACCGGTTTCTATATTTTGACCACGAATTATTCATCTAATCAAATATGGCGAGAAGCAAAATCTATGCTAAACCTTTTACACTGCTCTGTGGCATTGAGCGAGGTCCAGCAAATGCGGAAAAAACTCATAATTAATTACTAGTGTCCATCCCACAACGGCTTATGTATGTCAAGTCAATTTTTCCTCAGGGCAAAGCTAATGATCAGACGTGCAAATGTTTTTTTCAATTCATCCATCATCCCTCGTGAAGAATCAAAAACAAGTAAATGCATTCTAATGGAGGCCGCTCAAACTGCCCTCATTCACTAGTTACAGAGTTATTGCCACTGCCAGCTTCACCCACTAATCGACCAGCTGCATTGATTTCCTCTATTCTTGGTTACTATGGAAACATGCTTTGTATGTGGGGGGGTTGGAAGGGGCACTTTTAAGCAGGGAGTTAATTGCATAGGTCAATTTTGTGCGACATTGGGCCAGGGAAAAACAATGTGGCCGATTTTTCCTAGTCTCCAAAATTGCCCTGGTCAGCATTCTGGGCCAAAACGCAATTTCATTAGTCCAAGTATGTCGAGAATGCTTGACAATTACTGTTCGTCTCTGTTACTACAGCTTTGACAGAGGTTCTCGATTCAGCCGGACATTAAATAGAAAGGTGGTTTTAGAGCGGGAGCACGGAAACACCGGTATTTAGCAGATTAAGTGGTATTAAAATAGAATAGGAGGCATATCAATTGCTGTGTGTAATAGGATAGGATAGTTTCCCAGAACCAAAATAACTTGTGTACTTAATTATTGTCCTCTGCATTTGACCCATCCTTCACTGCCACAAGGGCAACATGTAAGGAACAGTGGTCGCTACAGCGCAGCGGCGAAGGATCCATCTCCAGATGTTGTTGCCCGGCTTGGTCTGGACTACGTACTTTTGCTAAAGGAATTGTCCTATGATGCATGTTTTGTAGCAAAGTTGTTGCCACCTCCTTCCTCCGCTAAGTTTTATTTAACACCAGCTCTAGGTTCGAACCAGGAACCAGGAAGTATAGTCGGCCAATCAGCAAACAGAGGGAATCCATGACGTTTGTTTGTAGTTCAGCAGACGTCATGGATCCCAAATTTAAATCCAGAACAAAGAGAATGTTTTGGAAAAGACATTATTCCTCTACTTCCTACATACTTCACAACCAAACAGCAGTGAATGTTTAAAACAAAACAAAAACCTATGATTAGGCAAATTAATCATAAAATGGTTCACACAAAGTGAAATAAAACCGGCTGTTGCATCAGGCTGGGAAACTGGAGAGTCCGGAGGAAACCCACCCAGACACGGGGAGAAAACTGTAAATTCCACACGGAAAGGTGCGTGCCTGCACAGGTTAGAACTCGCAGCTTCACGTGTGTTACCCACTCAGACTCCGAACATTGGCACAGCATTTACTCTATGTGATGCTCTACTATTGCCAATGATATCAGGCAAGTGTCGAGCCAACTTTCCAAGAAATCTCTCTCTCACCTATGCTATTATTCTTAGGAGTAAAGGTCTCTATTTTGTAGCAAGCCATCTCCGAGACTGTCAGAGCCTGCACTAAGTCTCCATATGGGCTGTGGCAGTAGTAGTGAATTTTAAAAGCCCTCTAGAAACAATCCGCCCTGTTCCCTGCTTCAGCTCACTTATCACGTCTCTCTCTCCTTCAGCTAGAGAAACCCCTGAGCGATCCCACCTTTCTCGGCAGGGTTCCAAGGATCACGCCGAGCCTGTTGTCAGTGAATGTTGTTCTATCTTTTATTCATGTAACCGGGAACTGCAGATGGAAACTAGCTGTTTACCAATGATGTGATGCAGGACAACTCTGTTTTTTGAACCTAATGTCTCAGTCCATTCCCCTTTCAAATAAAGACTAACCTAAGTGTGCTCCACTTAATAAAGAGTGCTTAAAAATGTTTGTTGTTTCCAAAAGAGTAGAGTGCTTGCAATATTAATAGATTAATTTCATGCATGTAATGGGTGGTTATGGGTTTTCTCTCTCTCTCTAATAATAATGCATTGGTTTTATAGAGCTTTTCAGGACACTCAAAGACGCTTACTTTACGCCTACTTTCTTATGTCATTCTTCTTTCACGCCATACACAGTGGCTTCTACTGTAGTCACAGCTGCCCGGGGGCACGCTGACAGCAGCAAGGCAACAAGTATGTGCCATTGGCTCTCCGACCGCCACCAACCATCCACACACACTA